GCCGTCTCCAGCCATTATTATTCTCTAGTTCAGTTCTCACCATCCATTAGCCAGATATATAAATAATGATACAATAATGAAGCATTTTAGCACCTTTTTTCACTACAAATCCAATATCTATATGATGTGGACCAAATATAAAATGAATTATTATTATATAGACATTTCAATACGATATGACATCATCTTCTCCATTTTGAAGATAGATTAAGGTGTAAACATGAAAATACATATATGTTGATGTACAACTTTTAGGGTTAGGGCCCTTCTTTGGGTAAACTCGATAATCCATAGATAGATAAATACAGACAGACATATCGTACCCCCGAATTTTAGCGTTGCAACTCCGGAAACGTACCGCTGTCCCACAGGGATTTAAATGTTAAAATATAATATATTTACAAAGACCTGATATCTTGTTAAAAAGTCAGGTAAATTTAGAACAATTGCTCGATCACCTTTACTAGGTAACAATAATCACAACAATTACTAAACCGACAATGTACTGGAATCCATGACATTGTTGGCTTAGTGAGTGTTGTGCTTATTGTTACATTTCATTTCGTTATACCATCTCACCTATAAGCTAAATTCGCTTCTTCCACGGTAAGCACGTGAAATTAAAAGAATATTTGACTTTTGTTGTCTAGACAAAATATGTCGTTTCATTTTATTCCAGTACAGACGACTGCCAAATATTAAATAATTAGCATAGACCCACAAAACATCTGCAGTCAAATTAGTATCTATATTGCAACAGTCTTTCTTTAAATACAAGATTTCTGGAAGAATACAAAATAATTCTAGTCGCAGACACCGAAGTCTACAAGTCCACCTGTCTTAGGCCTAATATTAGTTAAGCCTTTATTAAATACGGCCTATATTCGATAAATTAACACTGTAACTTGTGTGTGTGTTTTTTGTTTTTTTTTGCTTGAGTTTAGTTAGGGCTAAATTTTACCATACTTAATACGATTAATAAATAATCTTATAATGTTATTCTACCATTTAATGTTGGACCTTTTTAAAAACTTTGATAAGCTTTTAATAATAATATGTTGTTGTACAAAATGTCTAATAATGTAAATACTTACATCCGCCTTTGGGTTATATTCGTTGAAATTAACCGCATGCGTATACTAATTTAGAGAATAAGATGACCGCGTATTTTCAGTACAGACAAAAACTGAGTATTATTATAACAGATACTACTACTACTACTACTACTGAAGCTAACAACAAGAACAAATTATTATTAACTAGCTGAAGTACCCCACCATTGCCTGGTTCCAAGTCCAGGATGAGAAAGGAGGAGGGTTGGGCGCGGGGGCAAGCAACTCCGCCCCGTAAAACCAAAACTGCTACAGAAACTGCACCAACACTTCCGTCGGCGAAGTGTTGTTGTAGCCCTATGTTCCACTAGGAACGACAGGAACTAAGAGAGAGAGATGCACCAAAACTTCCGTCGGCGAAGTGTTGTTGTAGCCCTATGTTCCACTAGGAACGACAGGAACTAAGAGAGAGAGATGCACCAAAACTTCCGTCGGCGAAGTGTTGTTGTAGCCCTATGTTCCACTAGGAACGACAGGAACTAAGAGAGAGAGAGAGCTGAAGTACCTAGCCCTGTTCGGAAGTTATGTAAATTCATGATTAATGAAGGGTTGTTTTAAAACATGAAAACTTACTTCCTTTATATGTAATTGTAAGAAACGCAAAAGTGCCCATAAAAACTGCAAAACACAAAATGTAAAACCCTAAATTTGCGTGTATCTTCGCATGGACTCAAAAAACCTTCATTCCAAATTTGGTGAAGATCCATCAACAGGGGGCAAAGTAGTGGTAAAAAACGTCCATAAAAGCCGCAAAACTGAAACTTTGTATGGACTCCCCGCATGGGCCTAATGAACCTCCATACCAATTTCATTGAAGATCCATCCACACCCTACGAAGTAGTTACATGGACATATTAGGTCGTCAAGACATTAATGTCGTTTTTTTAGATGAAAAAACCCGAACTTATATATCAAAACAAAACATTTATTAAATGAAATAGTCTCCATTCTTATCGATAATGCTTTTCTATCTTACGATCAGGTCGTTAATGTCCTAATTAAAGAAATCACTTAGCTTTGAAGCAAAAAACATTTCGATGTCCTCTTTAACACCTTCCACATTTGTATACGTTTTCCCATTAAGATGGTGTTGCAGCGAACGAAAAGATGGTAATCTGATGGTGCCATATCTGGGGAATATGGTGAGTGGGGGAGGACTTCCCAACCTAACTCCATAATCTTGTGTTGCGTCAAACGTGCCACATGTGGACGTGCATTGTCGTGGAGAAGAAGAACACTTTTCCGATTGAGGAGTGAAGGGCGTTTCTGATGAAGGGCTTGATTTAAATGTTCCAGTTGCTGACTATAGATCTCTGCATTGACAGTTCACTGTGGATTGAGGAGTTCGAAATGAATTACTCCTTTGATGTCCCACCAAATGCAAAGCATCACTTTCTGCGGATGGAGTCCAGGTTTGGGGGTCGGAAGCGATTTTTGTCTAGGACTGAGCCATTGTTTTTGGCATTTAATATTCGCATTGAGAATCCATTTTTCATCACCGGTGACAATTCTGTCCATAAATGGTTCACACGATGGCAACGATAATTATTGGAGAATTCGTGAGGCACCCAAACACCTTCTTTATGGAGTTTTCCCATATTCCTTATATGTTTACGTATTGTTTCATGAGAGACAAACAATTTCAGGGCCATTTCACGAGTGTGTTGCCTTGGGTTAGACTCAACATGAGTCCTCAGAGCATCATTATCAATTCCAACATGTCGGCCCATGCCATCACAGTTTTTAAGGCTAAAGTCACTTGAACGAAACTTGCTGAATCATCGTTGACACTTACAAATGTTCAAAATATTTCCATAAACTTCTTTGATATTCTTTGTGGCTACAGAGGGGTTGTTTCCCTTCTTGTATTCAAACAGCATTGCATGCCGAAT